ATGTGCTTTATTTTCCCGATTTGCCCTAGTTTTCACACGAACACAATTTTAGCAGGCGATTTGAATTCACTTTACGAACTCTGTGATTTCCGTTGAAGTTTCATTAATATTTCGAGTGTCTCATTAATTGTGATGTTAATTGAAGCCCTAGCATAAACATCACAATTAAGGAGCATGATGAAATGCTTGAAATGTTATTGAAACTTCAACGGAAATCACAGAGGTCATAAACTGAAATCAAATATCCCACTAAATTTTGATGTGAACCCAATCGTTAAAGAAGATTTCTTCTACCAGTAGTGGATATTAGAGTTTAGTTTTGATTGCAGCCGGTGATTTAAGCGACAAATAGCATTCTGCAGGCGTATATGGCAGTTTCCAATCTATAACCTCTGTGATCTGTGGAAGTCGTGTTGAACATAACCAATTCAATTATGACGTTTGTAATAGGCTCTAAAAACAGAAACAAATTTTATTGCAGCCAAATTTTGTGTGTGAATTATCGATTGTTAGTTTTTAAAGCAAGATTTAACAGGAAAAGTGTATAGGACTGGCCAATCGCATTTTCAACGATAAATGCCGGGTCGTTTGGACTAGTTTTTCAAAAGTTTGTAAGTGTTTTTTTTGCAAATTTATGGACCATCCGCATTTTTTTTCACTGAATGTGCTTTATTTTAAAGGAAAATATAAAAGAACGCCGAAATCTGCTAGACATAAAGTACATAATGATCCAATGCAAAAAACTGGAAAAAATGTGTTCTAGAAAGACGCAGATTTCAACCATTAAACGAATCCAACAATCAAAAGAACTCCATCTTGTAGTCGAAATCGTTCCAGAGCCAATACATAAATTGCGACAACAAACGCGGGGAGATTATAATGAGAGCAGGAAAACAAATTATTTCAAACAATGCAAAAACCCAGAAAAAATGCGTTCCGAAGAGACACATATTTCCACCATTGAACGAATCCAAAAATCAACAGAACCACAGCTTGTAGTCAAAATAGTTCCAGAACCAATACACAAATTGCGACAACAAACGCGGGAATATTATAACAAGAACAGTAAAACAAATGATTTGGAACAATGCAAAAATCCAGAAAAAATGCGTTACGAAAAGACACAGATTTCCACCATTAAACGAATCCAACAACCAACAGAACCACAGCTTGTAGTCAAAATAGTTCCAGAACCAATACACAAATTGCGACAACAAACGCGGGAAAATTATAACGAGAACAGGAAAACAAATGATTTGGAACAATGCGAAAAACCAGAAAAAATGCGTTCCGAAGAGACCCAGATTTCCACCATTAAACGAATCCAACAATCAACAGAACCACAGCTTGTAGTCAAAATAGTTCCAGAACCAATACACAAATTGCGACAACAAACGCGGGAAAATTATAACGAGAACAGGAAAACAAATGATTTGCAACAATGCAAAAAACCAGAAAAAATGCGTTCCGAAGAGACACAGATTTCCACCATTAAACGAAACAAAGAATCAACAGAACCACAGATTGTAGTCAAAATCGTTCCAGAGCAAATACACAAATTGCGACAGCAAAAGCGGGAAGATTATAATGAGGACAGTAGTTTAACTATCACAGAGGAACCCAGCGAGAAAAAGCATATTCCAATATACAGAACGAAATTACCCGAACGATCGAAGCCGACTACTCAAGTCAAAGATTTATATGATTTTACGGATACCAGTCCTAAAGTTAAAGTGAAGAACAAACGAAGATCTTCTATTATATTTGACAAAAACACTTTTGAGATCTTGCAGAGACTGCAGGAAAAAGATAATAAATTAAAGAAAAAAGCCCTCAGAAAACTGAAGAAAACTTATGAAGAGACGGTCAATGGAATCGTTTCAAACCTGAAACAGAAAATAGCAAAGCGAAACCGTGACAAACCTAACGAATGCCAGCCGCATACAACTACCTCAAAACAGCAGGAACGGGATGAACCCCGGAGAGATGAATGTGTTGTGCATGTAAAAAACTTTGATAAAGAATTGAATATTGTTGCCAATTTATCAACAGTCAAAGAAAGAGAAGAAACAAACCCGACTAAAGAACATCACAAAATTGAAAACCCTCAACATGAACAAGCTGTAATTGATACGACTGTGGAGCAAGCGCGAGCTTTCAATACCCAAGATCTTGATCTTATAATGCTCCAAAGTATTGGCGATAATTCCGTTATTCTAAAAGATTTAGAGAGCGGCTTTGGTTTTGACGACAATGACCCGCCTTCTCCCCGCGCAAGTACCCCAGTTAAAAAAATTAGTATATTGAGCAACAAGCTTCTACGACCAGCCTGTAAAGGTTCTGTAGAATCACCTGTAAATTTCCGTACGGAAATTCCAAATGCAAACAGTACAATGGTTCAAGCAGGAGCTACAGCAAGTCCATGGCGCACTAATTGGATTAATGTGAAACGGAATCCGCATTTAGTCAGCTTTAAAGCCAACGCTTTGCCTACCGTAGATCAGGAGATGGTACTAAATCATTCTATTGTGGAAAACTATGAGAGGCATTGCACTAAACGGCAACCTCAAAAGTCAACTTGCTCTGTGAAAACCAGAGCTGTGCAGAAAAGTATTCTAGATTTCGTAGAAAGCAACATTGATAAGGAAAACTCGAACTTACAATGTTCCTTGTACGACTATGAAGATTTTAATAGTCCTGAAAAAACTTTGAAAGCGGAGCAAAGACCAGTACAAAACGTAAAGAGAAAAGTGTTAGGTATGAATGTTTATCTTTAATACTGATTAATAATTTAATTGTTGAACTTCATTTTTAGGGGAACTTAATAATATACCCGCTCAAGAAAACCTAATAGCTCCCATAGTAGAAACTAATACTGAAGATATTGAAAACACCACATACTTCGGTTTTGAGCAAAGCACCTGCTCAAGCCCTAAAAAAGATCAACGAAATGGCAAACCCTTGCCTTCCCGCTTTGATTTAAGCAACTTGAAGAAGTACAACAGAAGGGCTGGGCGGCTTCTACAACTGTCTCCTCGTGAAGAGTCAGCGTTATCAGACGACATAAATGAAAGTGTTTCGATACTTGAAAATTCCTCTGGAGAAGATGTTGGTGAAATTCAATTGTTTGAAGACCCTGATAAAATGTTCGATCAGATGGTAACGAGTGAAGGAATACGAATTAATTATTTTAGTACTTGGTGCTTTTTTTGCAGGAATCTTTCAGTGCTGTAGATAAAAAACTCAAGAGAAAGCGACTACATTCATTCGAAATGGATGACAGCGACCAGACATGTAAGCGCAAAACGAAGAAAACTAAACTAGAGGTAAATATATCCAGTTGCATCTGAAACGAAGGAATATTTCTATTTCAATTCAATTCACCGCTCAATTCAGGGTTTTTCCTTATTGTATTTTTTTTCCTTGTTGTGCTTCTCTCATCCAGAGTACCGCCTCTTGAGGCAGTTTCTTTTTATTTCGTATTTACCAGCAATTCGAATATCGCAGATTTAAAAATGTGCATTTAATGTTAATTCACTGGAATACTTTTCGGTGTTTCCATAACAGCAAACTGTTATTACAGATTGAACAGGAAGCTTGGATCCAGGACTTCAATAAAAGGTGCGACGAGATTGATAGTAGTGCTTTAGAGATAGAGTAGTTTCGCTTCGGACTTGAAATAAGTCGTGTTTTACTGTGAAAAACGAGCATTATGATTTAAAGCGAAACTGTGACGTTTCGGATTTGGAAGTATACATTATTTTACAGCCATACGTTTTCTACGTGTTTATATACATATATTTATAGTATTTTATAAAAGCATATAAGAGTATGCGGTGTAAGCGTTGTTTTTTTTATTAGAGCTTTGTTCGTTGTCTTCCTTTCCAGTTTTATTTATTAAAATTCCCGCTGCACACCGGTGGAATCGTGCCGATGATTTACTTGTTGATGCAGATTTTAGATTATTGAGTGTTCGAGACAATAAGGTGAGTTTGAATCTAGGTCTTGTCAACTTAGTCTTGAACGCGACATTCTGACATATCCCAAATGCTACTAAAAAAAGACTGCTATTTGTACAAATGTTCTTTATTTTACTTTCCTAAAACTCACACTCTTTCAATGCTCATAACACATCAACATTTAATCGTGCTTTCATCAAAATATGTATTGAACTTCTTCCATCTATACCGTCTCTTTGGGTCCTTTTTACTCCAAGCTGGCGTAAGATTCGGCATTAACCCTATAATAGTTCTTTGGAATTGCAGCTCTTAATTTACACACTGGGGTTGAAACTACATACCTGCCTTTTGAGCCATTGTAACTAAACTGCCCATACGCTTTTGCTGACTCTTACAAAGCCCTGTTATTCTCTTGGGTAACATACAACCGTCCGACCGTACAAACTGGCTAAGAATAAGCACATCGGTATGCTTGACATCCAAGCCGGACGCACAAATGGGACAACAGTGATCCTCGTTTTTCAAAAGATAAGGTTCCCTAGGGGATGGCTGAATCTCGCCATAAATTACCAGTTCTTTATCATTTTGCACTTGCTTTACTGAAATATGACCCAAGTAGGTACTATTAACTTGAAGTACTTCAGAATAACTTACTTTCTTTGATTCCAAGTACCGAGGATAGAGCGATATTTCGTATTTCTATGTTACTTGTTAGCGCCTTAAGAAGGGGTCGTAGTTTCAGTGGCAACATATTCATTTTTAGGAAGCTCAGATCACAGAGGTTACGTTCCTCTGTCATCTATGGCTTATAGGTTATTAGCAAGGATTTCTTCCTTTCACTCATTAATAATCTGTTTACTTTCTTAGACAAGGCGCAACTCTGTCAAACATTCCTGTCTTTCACGCACTCAATGCAAGATTGTTTTGAGCTTTCACTGTTAAGCGTTTGCAAGAAAGAGACGGAATGTTCGCTCAAGCAGTGACGATACAAAATAAGCTGCGTAAATCAAGTTGGTAAGATTATTTAAGTGTCAACTTTTGAAGTTACATTTTTGGACTTGTCAAAGATTTGACATTTTATTAACTTTGACTTTTTTCAATTTTACTCTAAATACGTATCTATACAAAACGTGAAATGGTTGAATGTGGAATAGTGTAGATAACCAAAAATGTTTTGGCTGCCAAGTTTGTGAGTTTCATATCCATTTGCGGTTCATTGATGGTAAGTAAGTATTTTACGGTATACAAAATCTTCTGTTTTATTTACTCTATTTACAATTCCCAGTTTCTTTAAATACTGCTTTTAGCTACTATAATAGGCACTCAAAGCATGCTCTAAACATTTTTTACGTCGCAGTTATTAAGATATAACTCCAGTTATTTCTATCAGTATGAATCTATCCATATGAATAATCTTTGCAGCTTCATTGGCGAAAATGTGTCTGTTGGCTTTCAAGTCTGATTGCGATTTTTCACTACCTTTCCTCATTTTAATTTGATTATATAGTGCCAATAATAATTGTTATAATGTCACTGTATTTCTCTGTTTAGGACGAACTTATTCCTATACCTAACAGGTGCCTTTTAAACTGATATTTTCAATTAAACTGTATGAAACTTAAAGAGTGCTGATAACATGTTTTTATTATGCTCTGACAATCTTTATAAGATGTATCTCTGATTTTTAACTACAAAACTTCATATACCTTTATTATATATATATATATAATAAATAATATATACATTTATACTACATAATAGTAGTTTTCACAAGAAATAGTTCTGAACGGGTACATAGACAGCTTTCCTGTAATAGATTATAAGGATTATTATCTCTGTTAAAGTACTAAAATCAGACAGAAATATTAAGATAGGTGTCTTTTTTAATTCTCCCCAAAAATTAACATTTATATCCACAGGATTAATTTAATGAAGAAAAGACAATAAATAAGATTAAAATGAATTGAAATAATGTGTTATCCCTTAAGATATGCGAATACTCTGTAATAATAAACATTTAAACTAAGTAACTATCGTCGACATTCAAGATTGTGACCAAATCGACCGACAGTAGCTTTGAGTTATTAGTATTTTCATAATTTGCTTATACTATAAAATCAATTACTTTAACTCAAGTCGGTTTATAATGATGTTTATGGAAAATATATGTAGCTGCTAGATCATAAATTCTAAATTAAAAAAAATTGTAATTAGAAATAAACAAATAGTAGACTAGTAACTAGCCTCAGTTTCACAGGTTTAGAATTATTTTTATTCATAGTATTTTCTAGTCTTTATTAAAAATTCCAAAAAAATTATACTTGAAATAAACACTATTAACTGTACTTTTAAATTATCACTTCTTCCAGGAATTATTCGATAGGGTTAAGTATCATCCATGGTATTCGACCGCAATTTTGTGGCAAAGCTTAATAAGACATTTTTCTTCTTGGTTGATATAGGCAATTTTTACATATAACATACACATTTACATACAACATTTACAATAACATTTCTTTAACTCACTTTATTTTGGAATATTGCGTGGCAGAGCTATTTGTTTGTCACATTAAAAATGTTTATACTCTCCGTGATGGTTGTATCGGAATATTATAAAATAGTCTTTCCTTTTTGTATTTTAATTTTTTAAAATTTTTTTTCCAACCGCATGCTGATGGTTTATTACAAATACTAACAGTGGCTTATACTGCATGACTATCTTGATGATTCAAAGTCAAGTCCGATATAGATAAAAAATATTCACATTGGACTATTCTTAGGTCACTAAGCGGACTTAGTCATTTTTTCCTGCACATATATTCTACAAACAAAACTTGATCATTACGGAACTTGACATTATAATTATGTATAATTAAGAATTAAAATTAGAATTAAATTAGAATTTAAAAAAAATTATTTGTTGGCCACCTTCTTTTGTATACGACGATACCTTCATAGACACTGTACGAGAATGCATCTGTTGGATTGTTTAGATTTATCTCCACTTTACCTTCTGAGCTGAAAGCCCCACGGATTTTTTTAACAAAAGGGTAATTTAAGAATCGTAATTATCAACTAAATAACGATTAAAAGAATCGAAAGAAAGAATGTTTTCTACATTTGAAAATATTAAAACAATACTATGTTGTTTTCGACATTAAATTTTTCATTTCCTAATGTGGAGAATTGTTATCTTAATTGTTAATGATGAGATGATATGTTATAATGCTAGTTAATTAATTGTTATATCACTTCTGTAATATTTAATGAAATAAGCTGAGATCAAAATTACATTATTTAAAAAAAAATAAGCTTTTGCAATAAATGCAGTAATATTCAACTTCTCGAGCAAATCATCGGTTTTTCTTTTTTTTAATCAAGAATTGAAACTCGATAGTAGATAGGCACCATATTCGGTGCGTCTACTGTACGAACTGTAATTGCTTCAAACGTCTGACTTTCTTTAAACTTTAACTATAAAGCGATTGTTTTAATGTTCATTTCTACCCCTAAAAGTTTGTTGGTATATTTAGGTAGAAATAATATGTATATATAAGTTGATAATCAACAGTTTTAAATTGCACTACTAACTTTCACGTTCTTTACAGGTACTGATACATGACAGTTGATGTGAGCACTATATTTTGTCGCAACACAGTTCACGATGTTTTAAGCCAACAATTATGTAAGTACGATTAAAATCGAGCGCGTGCCGTAAATTTCAGCTGAGTTATTTTGACAAAAGATTTGTCAAAATAACTCTGTTTTCTATGAATTAACAGGCGCACACAACTCCAATATGGACGAGGTGGCTGCAGAAGCATGGAACATTAGTCAGCTTATAGACGAACTGAGAGGATTTCAACTAACGGACCGCAATCTTCCTCTGGCCTTTTCCGAGGAACGTCACTTGGAGAAAATCGATGGTATCGACTGGGAAAGGCAAATATGGCGAATGAAGGAACGGATGAAGACTGTAAGTGTTGCATTAGTGTTGTGTTTAAATGTGGGAGTGGATCCACCGGATATAGTGAAAACTCAACCTTGTGCAAGACTGGAGTGTTGGATCGATCCTTTGACTATGTCAGGGCAGAAGGCTTTAGACAGTATCGGACAGGCTTTGCAAACACAATATGAAAGGTGGCAGCCTAGAGCGCGGTATAAGCAGTCCCTAGACCCTACTGGAGATGACGTAAAAAAACTTTGCCTTTCATTACGGCGCAATGCGAAAGAAGAGCGAGTTTTGTTTCACTATAACGGGCACGGTGTTCCGAAGCCCACAACGAATGGTGAGATATGGGTATTTAATCGCACTTATACTCAATATATTCCTTTGAGTATCTATGATTTGCAAACATGGATGGGAGCCCCTTCAATATACGTTTATGATTGCCCCAATGCAGGCATAATTGTAGAATCCTTTAAAACTTACGCTACCCAGCACGAATTAGAATACCAACAGTCAATCGGGGCCTCGACATCATCACGCTCAAGTCCGTCCGGATCTGCTCTAACGCCCTCTTTCAGTGAATGCATTCAACTTGCTGCTTGTGCGAGCAACCAATGCCTTCCCATGAACCCAGATTTGCCAGCCGATCTTTTCACTTCCTGTTTAACGACGCCTATTAAAATAGCAATGCGCTGGTGTGTATTGCAGCCTACTTCAAAGCTTATTCCCAAAATTACCCTCGATATGGTTGACAAAGTCCCTGGAAACATAACTGATAGAAAATCAATGTTTGGTGAGCTAAACTGGATTTTTACCGCTATCACAGATACAATTGCGTGGAATACTCTTCCGAGAGAACTGTTCCAGAAACTTTTCAGACAAGACTTGCTAGTAGCCAGTTTGTTTCGGAATTTCTTATTGGCTGAAAGGATTATGCGCTCGTGCGACTGCACTCCTGTGTCATCACCCGCTCTACCATCAACGTACCAGCACCGCATGTGGGACGCTTGGGATTTGGTGTTGGATTTATCTTTCGGACAACTACCTGCTATCCTCAAAGGAACCGCCACATATAAAAATCTTCCATTCTTTGAAGATGAGCTCACGGCTTTTGAAGTTTGGCTGGGCTTTGACTCAGCGGAGGAAAATCCACCAGAGCAATTGCCAATCGTTCTACAAGTACTACTTAGCCAGGTGCACAGAACTAGAGCGTTAGAGCTGCTCGGTCGATTTTTAGACTTGGGGCCTTGGGCGGTAAATCTGGCGCTTTCAGTTGGAATTTTCCCCTACGTACTGAAACTATTGCAAAGTTTCGCTAAGGAATTGAGACCACTATTGGTAAAAATTTGGTCGAAGATTTTAGCTGTGGACACCACCTGCCAAGCTGATTTAATCAGGGAGCACGGGCATAAGTATTTCTTGTCAATTCTGCAGGACCCTTTGATGTCGTCGGAAACTCGAACACAGGCCACATTTGTTCTCTCGTGTTTGGTAACCAACTATAAAGACGGCCAAGAGGCAGCACGGCAAGGATCTCTAGTCAGCGTTTGCCTGGAACAGCTGGGCGACCCGAGCCCGCAGCTACGTCAATGGGTCGCAATATGTTTGGGTAAGTTGTGGGATCATTACGAAACCGCCAGATGGACAGGAGTGAGAGACACAGCCCACGAAAAACTTTACATTTTGCTGAAAGATCCATGTCCAGAAGTGCGCGCAGCATCAGTATACGCTTTGGGCACCTTCATAAATGCCGTTTTGCGTCGATCAGAACACGCAAATAATATAGATCAGCCTGTTGGGATGACGTTAGCAAATCATGCGGCAACTGAAGCAAGTCCGCTAGTCCGAAAAGAACTTATAAATGCACTGCAATGGTTACTAATGGCCTTTGACGTCGCTTTTGCCACAGTAGCTGCGAAAGAAACGCAAAGTTTTCCGGAAAGCCAATCCAGTAACACGCTCCCGAGAATAGCAAATCGCGACAGGTTATCGCAACCCGATGGAGGACTATTTAGAAGGGTACCTTCCAGTCCCGCTATCAATAACATGGTCAACTCTCCTAACGCTATGACTAACAGTTATAGTGGGAGTTTGGGGGCTTTGCCGGGACTGGGTTATGGCTCGGTTTATGTGAAAATCTGGGTGGCCTTGTGCCAGATGGAAACAGATCCGTTCCCAGAAGTAGCTCAGATGTGTTGCACGGTTACCGGTTACATTCGAGCTTTGGTAAAAGAACGAGATACGATTGACCAACGGAATTCTAGCATAAGTTTGCCCCCAAGTCCCAACAGGGGCGTGCCCCTTAGTGAGGAAAATACCCCAACCGCGTACCAAAGCGGCGATTTTCAGACAAAATTGTCTCGAAATAGTGCGACCAATAAAAATCGGCGGAAAAAGGTATCCGTTGATGAAAGCACCGATAAAAATTACCAAAATAGAAAACCGCTAGTAACCACCAATTATGTCACGTGGTCTTCCAAGCAGTTTGTTAAAAAAAGAGATGAGCAAGGCGACGATCCTGAATCAGAGAAGTATTACGAACGAGAGTGGCGAGAGATTCGAAATAAAGGTATTAGAGCAGAAGCACACGAAGAACAGAAAAGAGCCATAACGTCAAAGGTAGAGAATCAAGTGTTCCACTCGAGGACTGCAGTAGCTCCGACAATGCTACAGTTGCATCCCTATAGTCAGCATATTGTTGTTGCTGGTAACGATTCATTTGCCATTTGGGACTGGGGTACCGGTGCCAAAACAACCACATATCGTCAAAAGTCCGCAATAAATGACTTCAAAACAGCAAAAGTGTCCGATTTACAGTGGGTAAATGGTCATGATCAGACATTGTTGCTGGTAGCTGCTGAAGATGGTTCCGTAAGAATATGGCGGCCGATACCGGGGAATCGGGAACCTTCACTGGTGTCAGCCTGGCAAGCTTTCAGCAATTTTAAGCCGAAACAAGTGGGCGTAATTACCAGTTGGGAACAATGGACCCAGACTGTTATAACTACGGGTGATACTAAACTACTAAGACTGTGGGATGTTCAAAGGGAATTGAAATATGCGGATATTATTACGGGCACCGATGCGTCAGTGACTTGTCTAGATTCATCGTACTCTGGACTTTCGTTGGATATTTCGTCTTTATCGCATCGACGAAAGTCTACAGAAAATCGAGAACCAACACGGCCCAATAACCAAACGGGGTATATCATTGCGGGTTGCTCGGACGGATCTGTTCGATTGTTCGATCGGAGATGCAGTCCTCAAGAATCAAGATCAAAAGTGTGGATGGTGCATACGGGAACAGTACTTGCTGTCCAACTACAGGATAATTTAGTGATCAGCGGCAGCTCTGAAGGTGAAGTGAATTTTTACGACATTCGAAAGAATGATGCGTTGCATTCAACCAATGTGATACCCAAACACTTAGGCATGTCCTGTATGTCAATTCACCGGAGTGCTAACATTTACGCGTGTGGTTCTGTAAATCAGTTCATTGGTGTTTACAGCTTGAATGGCAGCTCGCTCAACACCATAAGGACATACGAAGGTTTCATGAGTCAAAAAATTGGTGGAGTTAATTGTTTGAACTTTCATCCACATAAAGTTGCACTGGCTTTCGGCAGCGCCGACTGCTGTATAGATGTGTATAACATAGGCTAGATCCCTGATTGCTATGTTAATTAAGGACCGGCTTTGGGGTTCACAAAGACATTTTTGTGCACCAGTTTCATCTAGCGTCTGTTATTAACTTGACATTTATGGAGTTTATTCGGAAAAACACAGTTTTTATGCAAGGGTGGCTGATACTATGAACACCCAGGCAAAAACTTTGGATGTTGTAGAGGTTGATTTACGATTATTGACTGACAGAAACATTTTTGCATCATGATTAGCTCGACTATGTAATGCTTGTAATTTTATAGTATTTTTTGTAAGTTTTCTTTTCGTTCGAGCATTTATGCAAAAACTGCGGTTATTTCACGTAGAATGCATTAGGGCGTATTCTGAGTTTAATTCTTGAAATGAAACGTTTCTTTTTACGCATAAAAAAGGAATTTAATTTAAAAGTTTATAAGAAACGAACTCGACAACTTTTTACATTTCTATTGTGCATACGCTGATTAAATAATTAGAGCTCGATTTTTTTCAATTGTAATAAACTTAATTTTTAGTTAAACACTTTTTACAAACACTTTACACTTTATTAAAATATTGATAGTGCGAACTATTAATGATGTTTCGGGATAGTATATAAATTATAGTTTGGAACAATTTGGTCTTAATTAACGTTAAGAAAAGGTTTCGAACGTTCATAAATACATAACATATGATGCATTTTATCTACGACTGGCCTAATATAGTTATTTAAACGTTATTTCAGTATTTGTTGCGAATGACTTATCATCCATCATTACTATCAGGTTCATTATGATTTAAATTTTTTGAAGCAAAGTTTACAGTTTTACTCCGTTTTTATTTTCTTGCTTTTTTTGAACCCATAGCGATATAATCAAGCTATACCTGATATGAAGTTCTTTGTTTATATGTACTATAATGTGATAATGATCTCTAAAACACCTGATATAGCTTTGTCGGCCGAGTCTGAAAAAATACGATTGCATTTATGGGTTTTTATTCATATGCATAAAAATGTAAAAACATATTGCACTATGATAAGGTTTCAGTCAGTCACGTTAAATCTGAAAACAACCCCGTGAATACATCAATTTCTTCAGAAATGCTTAACAACGTAATAACCACCCTGATTAAACTAAGCGCTACTCGGGAGATGAACGCTTTAGAAAGTGCCTAATATAAATATAGTTATGTAAGAACTGCCATGGTGTTCCTGATATGTATGCTGTTTTAATGGCGATAAGTTAGCTACTTAAACATTTTTGTTTTACCTACCTCTTTGGTTGAATATTTTCTGTAAAATGGTCTCCACCTGAATGAGCGTGGATATTGTTTTGTAAATATAGTCGTAACAATTGTTATTTACTGGCGTTTAAGAGGATACAATGCTGGTACTAATTTTTACTGAAAAGGCAATCGATTTGTACCTGATTTTACATTCTTGTTTTAATTCAGTGCTGCTTGAGGTTGTAGATTGTAGCCAATAATACTATTTATTATTATGTATTGCCAATTGTCGAACAAGATGTTTATTAAGAAGTTATTGTCTATAAGACGATTGTGAGAGAAACCATCACAATTTCGAAACAAAAAATCACATGTGGCAATGTTTATTTTAGCTGAGGTAAGCGTTTTTTAAATGAGATGCTAAGAGTTCCTTTTTATTTAGACTTTCAATACTGTAGCAACGTTAGAAACGAATTATATTTAGCATGGTTGTTTTTATATTTTCATTTTTGGGATCCAAATGTTTGCCTAATTAAAAAGACTAAGCGATTAAATTTGGAAAGAGCTAATGGACATTAAATTAACCTGCTTAGTTTCCTTGTTAATAGCGGCTATCGTGTATAATGTATGGCATGAAGAAAAGCACTTAATTTTACCACTACTGTGTAGTAATTGAGTAAATTTCTGCTTTTTATTTTTTACATTTTTATAGTTTATTTCCACTTCAATTTTAATCGGATATCATTGATCAAAATTTGTTATAAGTTGCTATATTTTTTTATGATATTGCAAATGGGTTTACTTATTTGTTGCAACAATTTCCAAATATTCTGAACGTATGGCTTCTAAGCCTTAAAAAATCTCCTTACTCATCCAGAACCTTTCTTTTGAACTCTATTAAATAGGTATTTTTGGAAATGTATAAATTCATTTTATTTTTCATACATTTTTGCTGTTTTACTTTCAATTCTACTAATTGTACCTGAATGCTGACATACATTTTTCAGTGTTTGGCAAATCTACCCCACCTCTAAATGTAAAACTCATTAAAAATAAGCTTGCTGGTTCAAAAAATTGCAATTTGTAAATTTAACCAAAAGTGATTTTTGTTTGCTTCTTCCTTTGGACATTCTTGCTGTATAACTCATAGGTATAACTGTGACTTTTTACCGTAAGTTATGAACGTGTAGATATATATATATATGTTTATTTGACCTTAAGCGTCAGCTTTGATTACTTATATGTAAGTATATAACGTTTGGAATAAGATGTGAACAATGTTGATTTACAGGCAATATTATGTAAGAACGAAATTAAACATTAATAGTTTAATGTGTGAACAATGTACTTGATGGTCTATCTACCTACAGTAAATTATGCTTTATGAACTGGCATCGCTTTGTAATTTAATACATGTATTCTAGACTCATTAAGCATGTAATTCTTAATTGTTGACTTTAGGTAAAGGTACATGTTTGGCTCTATGAAAAACCTTTTGAAAGGAGCCAACTCTTTAGAAGTGACCGATTAAAATGTTTAAACAAAATTTAAATGAACAGTCGTTCATTAAATTTTTATTAAAATGCCACAGGTACTATTAATTGGGATATGTTTCTGTCAGAATGCAGTTACAGAACATTCGCCTGTTTCTTGTATTTTTAGTTGAACTTCACAAAAGCAAACAAATTTCCTGAAATTATAAGGCCGCTCTTAAAGACTTCAAAGGTGTAAGAGTCCAATATCTTCGCTATTTCCTCAAATTTCTAGAATTAAAATGTATACTTTGGTTACGATACCATTTCGTCAACGCATGTTTTTATAAAAGGTTCAATTAATATATTGATTTTATTAAAAGTAATTGTTTAATTTTGGAACTTAGAGATGTTCGGGGAACATAAATCCAGAAAGGTACGTTTTCAGAATACAGGGACAGTCCTATTTTTTTTAGTTTAGCGTCAATAATTTATTCGACATTTGAAAAAATATTAATTGGTTAAAAGTATTTTAGCCGCTGACTATTTAAATTTCGATATATTTTTTGCGTGGTTTTTGAGGTGAAAATATTAAACTTATGTTTCAAACTTTGTCAAATGTAATTGAGTTTTTAATTACAAATAAACTTACCATTCAACTGTTCATTTAGGTCTTCAAATAGTGTTGTTCAAAACGGTTGTCGTAGCCCTGCGTATTGAAGCAAACTCCAGAATGTTTTTTAAACTCTAAATAAGCAGTTTAGACAAGGTAAGAGTCAGTTCGAAGCAACCATTATGACAGCAAGCGTCAGAAACTTTCAAATACGAAAATAATAGTTTTTTTGCTAAACCGCACTATTCGTTAAGGAAATACAATATAACGGTAAAAGAAAACTTGCTCCTTCAGGAAATATTCGCTTTTAGGCACAAAGATACAAAAAAATCGTAATTTTGCTCAATTCTCAGAGCGAATTCTAGACAAAATTCCATGTCCGCCATTAAACAAAATACTGTTTCGACAATATGACGTAAAACCTAAATTTAATGATGAAATTCAACATCGTCGGCAACAAACACATATTCAAAATATCTAAAATCCTTGAATTTCTGTCCAACAAATATTAAAAAATTATTAAAAATACTGCAGTTTAATTAGCAGCGATTATTAAATCCTGCGTCTTAGCCCATTCAGCCCTGTTGTCATACTTCAACATTTAACCTTCATATAAAGTTTTGTTTACAGTTGTCACATATTCTAGCCAAACTTTAGCGAATTTAAAGTTCCTTAGTTATGTATTTTTCGCAAATAAAATGGATTTTAACTGTTTTCTGTATGATTATAGGCCTGGAAGCCGCTCAGGTAAATAGCAGTTTAAAAAAAGCTAATGTAGATTAACGAAATGGTTTATTTCAGTTAGATCCGACTTTTGTGGAAAAAGCGAAAAAGGGGCACACGAACAACTGGGCAGTTCTAGTGGACACGAGTCGCTTCTGGTTTAATTACAGACACGTTGCCAATGTACTTTCAATATACCGCAGCGTTAAACGGTTGGGAATTCCGGATAGCCAAATAATTCTAATGATCGCTGATGATATGGCTTGTAACCCCCGAAATCCTAGACCTGCCACAGTTTTTAACAATGCTAATCAGCATATAAATGTATACGGAGATGATGTGGAAGTCGACTATAGGGGATACGAGGTAGAGATTTTATTACACGAGTTTTAGTGAACCAATTCAAATGTTTGGTTGGTATTTAAGGTAACCGTTGAGAATTTTGTAAGACTGTTGACCGGAAGACTACCACCTGGTACCCCCCGATCGAAGCAGCTTCTCTCCGATGAAGGAAGCAATGTGCTCATTTATTTAACAGGTCACGGAGGAGATGGGTTTTTGAAATTCCAAGATTCAGAAGAAATCACTAGTCAAGAAATGGCAGATGCTTTGGAACAAATGTGGCAGAAGCAAAGGTACAGTTGCGTAATTTAATTGTTCCTCTCCCATATTCATTATTCGTTAGATATCATGAAGTATTTTTCATGATCGACACTTGCCAAGCCGCCTCCATGTACGAGAGATTTTATTCCCCGAATATTTTGGCTGTGGGCAGTTCCATGGTTGGAGAAGATTCTCTTTCTGTAAGTTCGCATACGTAGCAAAATATAAACTTAAACAATCTGAATTACTTCAGCACCATGTTGACCCGGCAATCGGAGTCTACATTATAGACAGATACACATACTACGCCCTCGAGTTTCTGGAAGAAGTCAGTCCTCAGAGCAACAGATCAATGGGAGAATTCGTACGTTTTTTTATATTTGGTTACATATGGGCTTTTATTTAATTAATTTTTAGTTGAAAGTCTGTCCAAAGAGCGCTTGTATATCCACAGTGGGAGTGAGAAAAGATTTGTTCTTACGAGACCCAAATGCGGTTCCTATAACCGACTTTTTCGGTTCAGTCAGACCGGTAAAAATGCTGGAGAGTGTCCCCGACGTTCCGAGTATAATAAACACAGTAATTCCACAGAAAAGTACTAGAAAAGCGGAAAAAACGCCGAACAAGTACCGGTACATTCCTCCTTTCCCCACATTTTACAGTGAATTGTAAATAAAGTAAACAGTATTACTACACCAAAGAAAAAATCATGTTTGTAAATAATAAATATCCAAATTAAACCAGTGCAAAAATCTTTTTTATTTATTACTCCACAATAAAAACTCACATATATCACATAGTGACGTTGCTTATAACAAAAACTTTGAAAAACGAAAAAAATACCAATACCAATGTAATAACCCAAATGATTTTACTTCAGGTATCTTACAAATTATGATTATTCAAATGTGCCGAATACTTAGAATACGAGTTGAAAAGTTCAGAAGATGGTTTAATGCAAACAATAAGAATTACATTTCTTAAAATAACAAACTAACAAATCAGTACGGCTTTTCTAAAAGAACCAATTGTTTTATCGCAAGCGATTAGTTGGATAAGACAAAATTCTTTCCACCCAACAGCGTACCATAAACGATAATTAACAAAAAATAATAAAATTTATTATAGTATATTGTACTATTTCTCTCTATTTTTGGGTTTATTGCGCATTGACTCCACGTTTCTTACCTTTCACAACCACCGGTTTATTCTTGATCACTCCCTTCTTGCGCTTGGTATTCTAAAGAAGAGTGAGATTAATGAATGTTACACCCATAATTTGTTACTATACCTTTTTAGAGACAGAACTGCCGGTTTTGATTACTCTATTCGCAACTGGTATTCTAGGTCTATTAAATTCGTCTGGCTTTTTAACCCTGCGCCAAAAACAAGTATAAGTAATGGAAATAAGATAATTTAACTTCCAAGAACCTACCTGTATATCCTGACCAGCCAATGCTCGCTGGTGTATGCCTCTTCCAAGTAGGTCAAGTGAATATCTTTGTTTCCAATTACTGCGTTTCTAGTGCGATCAAAGCCGGACGGCGAACGGTAATCCAATCTAGACAAGAATTATATTTAGAAAACATTCGCAAAAAATTGATTTGAGCGATTTGAACGAGAAATTACAGTTAGATGATGGGAATAAAAACGATCCATTCTAGTGAAGTATAAGCACAATAAACAAGTAAATTAGCGTTTTAATTTTTACAGTCTCGCTTCTATGATATTCCTTGTCATATTTATTCGATTTCACCCCTTTGAAATAATTGTTTAAATTGTACACTATTCAAAATGGCAACAAATATTAAATAAAATAAGGAAAGTGTATCATAAAGCAACCCTGCAGATTTCCGCAGTTCATTGAATGGCTTTTTGTACCCGAGAAAAAGTTACGTATTTTACTAAGGCGTTAAAAATGTGCAAAAATGAGTGGAGGAAGTCAGTAATTCGTTTTTAAGCTGATTTTCACTCACAACTTATAGCTTTACTAGCTTATAACTAAGAAAAACGTCACAGACTAAGGACACACCTTGAAAATATAACTCATATTTTAACATACGATTGAATATACATCGGAATACCAAAGAAGCACGATGAAATTTTACGCTACTGATTTGGTTGGGAGTCTATCGATCTACAATAAATTTGGTATGAGATACACTTACCTTAAATCACCGAATTTGTAATAGCTGAGTTTGTACATCAAGCAGTTCAAGAGAACGGGAGATCCCTCAGAGTCTATACGAAACTCGCCTTGTTCAGTAAAATAATCGCTTTCCTGCAAAATATAGTTGATTTCAATTAATTTCCCAGCTAGTAAGAGAAGAAATTTAGTTTTGAAATATCTTTCTAACTCTCAGCAGAGCTCGTAGCAAAACAAAAAAATGTATAATCCGAATAACACTCACCCTTATGTCTTTGGGGTGTTCTCCCTCCGCAATCCTAACCATCCACAAGAATTTGTTGATGTCATCTCCAGAGTACCCAATAACACCTCCGAAGATAACCAGCACATAATCCACATCCAAGGCAGTCATAATTTCGTAGGCAGCACTTTCATTGGACGACATGGCTTTACCAACCAAGGCTATATGACTATTGTTCCAAGTGTTATTGTCCACCAGCGTCGTCCGATTGGCCATGCCTGCTATTTGGTAACCGTAATCCCACCTACATAATACAACATGCTTCAGTTTACTGGAAACTCATATTGAGTGGCTTACCAGCTCATAACTCGAGCATCATCGGCAGTATTTTGGGACAACCAGAAGTAGGCTTCCCTGAAATCGTCCAAAATCTGTCTAGTGCCATCGCTTCCGTAGCTGGCCAGCACGATGCTTGGACTGGAGTAGGCGTTGCTCGTAACCCATGTGCAATGAACAGCAAAGAGCATCAGTAGAAGGACCAAAATGACTGCAGCTACGCTACGTATATTCGGGCCGATAGGATCAACCTCTTTAGACTCGTGTTTGATTTTTGGAGTTTTTCCGGCCTGAAAACAAAGGTAATTATTAGCATGCGTTAGGTCTACTCTAGATTACCATGTACCTTATCGTACAACCGCTTTGCGCTTTGAGGAGTTTCCTCTTCTTCGACTTCAACAGGTGCAGCGCTGTCTTCTTCTTTCAGATACATCTCGAGAAGCACCGAAAACGCCACACCACTCAGCATGCACACCACCGGTGTTAATGTTAACATCAATCGAACCATGACACCGGCAAAATAAACAGCACTCAGAGCGTACAGAATAACTATAAACAAAAGGGGCATTTTTGTTGAATTAGTCCAAATAACCGACAAACGAACTTACCAAATACTCGTTCATCGTTCACGTTTTTTATACAGTACCAAAGTCCAGCAGGGAAAGTGGGAATCAATACATGTAAATCGAAGAAAAAGGAAAACCAGGTGGTGGGCTGATGTTCGGATACCGACGCTATAATTGGTATGTGAATTTTTGCGTAGCCAGTGTCCCAAAGCGAGTAAAATCTACAAAATATGCCTTTAGCAACCAATAACACAAAAGCGGAACACACAATCAGGCTTTTGAATCTTTTAAATCAAAACGGAAACCTACCGGCCACTCCATGGGGCAACATAACCAGCATATGTAAGTCCAACTACTGTGGCAAAAACCAGTCCAGCAGCCAATGAGCCGCCCCATATTGCCAACGATTTGAATTCAGATTTCGACAAAATGGACTGTAGATATTTGAGAATAGCTATCGCGAAAAGAAGTGCGAAAACACCTAAAACCCATAAATAATTTCAGTACATTTATTCGTGGTTTTAAAAGCGCTTGGCCTTACCTGCGGCTGCCATATGTTCACTGGTTCTAATAGGCTGGAATCCAACAAAGGGAATTTGCATGGACATGATAAGGCCCAGAATATAAAAAGTTGTATAGCTGGTGAAGAGCCTGTTAGAGTAACGTCCCATCAGAAGAAGCACGAACACATGTAGAGGTATCAAGTTGATGATAAACACATAGCCTCCCCATGCTGAAACCTATACACATACATTATTACATCTCATAAACAGCGTTTCCTATAATCCTACCATGTAAAAATATGTCAATGATGCCGCAACAGCCCAAGATACGGAACCAGTCTTAACAGACTTGATCCATAAGAAATAGGTGAATTGTAGGGCAAATATGGCGATTCCTTCATTGTCATAGGAACCAGCTACTGATCTGCTAATGTAACCGGGAACAATCGCTATAAAACAAGCGGCAAACAGACCGGCTCCAGATGACCATAATTCTCTCGTCAGTAGGTAGGTTGAGATAGCTGTTAAACCACTGAAAATAAATGAAACCTCGAAAATTTAAAGAATTATAATGCTGCTTCCTAAGGATTAGTAGGTACTGGATTACTACTTTAAGGCATTACTTACTACAACGTTAAATAATTTTTAAAACATAAATAGTGTAAAGTTAAAGATGGCTCAATTCGTTCTATTTTATCAGACAAACTGGTCATAATATAACATTGAGTTAGTTACTCAATTACTCAAAAGGGATGAGTAATTAATGTAGTTTTTCACATGTAGCTGAAATAATTCAGCAAATCTCAAGTAAACACCTCAATTAACAAGTTGTTCAGTGGATTTTGGCCGATAAGGCTTATCTAAACTTATTTGTGAAGTAAAGCAAACATATTGATTATGCTTTTAAATGATGGGTAATGTGGATAGGAATTAAAAATTACCTGAAAACTGGAGCGAGAAATACGCAAACGTCCCTAATATGCACATTAATGTGTAGCAAATGCAATATGTAATGTATGCTGCCGGAGGTGATCATCAATCCGGGGTAAACTGTGCCACCTACGATACGACCCAATGGATACCATGCACGCTCATCAAACCAGTTGAGGAAGTTGTAAAACCCATGTTTTACCATATATGCTGTGGCCCTGTAGTTGAACCTAAAATATAAAAAAATATTTAAATAAAAAACAAGATCTAAATGGACACTTGAGGATGATTTTTTTCCGTGTTCCATTGGATCTGTGATAGTAACTTGGAAACCAATTTCTCGACATGTTCTGAATCTACAATGGTTTGAATGGTATGAAGTCATAGAAGCCCCAAAAATACTTGCCATGGATCGAATTCGTGTATGATACTTTCGAACCGGATAACAGCAAAAAGGCGAGACGCAAACCCGGCCACCCATGCCAAAAGCAAAACTACAAAGATTATCAGACTGTTAACGGCCGCATTTTTATTCAATCTGGATACAGCCCCTTTTTTCGAACCGGCTTGAGGCATTTTTGACAGGGGGCGCAAACATGACACGCACACACAGTGAGGTTACTCGGCTATCCAGTCGGCCTGTTTTGATTGGTCGATCTCATGTTTTGTCAAGTGCTGTGTGATGACATTTACACCATACGCCATTTGTCGCTTTTATCGTCGTGGGAATCACATTAGAAAGGCACTGCTGACGTCATTTGGCCCAAGAGTATTGATTTATGTAACATAAATTAAGAAAAACATTAATAAACGTTATCACTAGAAAACTAGGTCCCAGTCGCCAGGAATATTAGAATTAATTTTCTCAAAAATATTCGGGCTTATGTCCACATATCACAGAGAATCTGTGGACTCTGTGACCTGTGTCAAATTACGTCGCTTTTATGGTTGACCAATGAGGTTCTGCGCATTGACTCAAATGACGTTTGAATGTTCAGTTACGACGGGTATTTCAAATCAAACTCAACAGTATTTAGGGTTGGTCGGTTCCCAGGTTGGCCCTGTTAACGTTGCCGAGTACTTAAAATTGTTAATATTTGCAATATTTAATAAGAACAATGAGTGCACAAGTAGGTGATAAGAGTGAGAAACCGGAAATTGATAGTTCAGTTCTCAAAGATCTGGATGAAGCCATGTGAGTTGCTGTAAATGAATATTTTTGCCTATAGGTGAACAACAACCAGGTTTATTTGAGGAATTTTTACTGATAAGGTCGTTGATAGACATTTAGCAAAGGCTTGTACCTAGCTGTACTTGTAGGCTGTATATATGACTCCCGCCCAAACTAGTGCTTTTTTCTGACCTTCATCAAAGGTTTGATTTTTACGCAGTTCGAAACATATCTATGTATGTATGTATGTATATATGTAATCTAAAAACGAGTTCGGAATAAACCATTTAAGTCGATAGATAAAAGTGTACTTTGGGATGAAAACCATTATATGCACTTACCATTATTTGTCTACTCAGAACTATATTCGGTTGCCCTATATTCTAATCAATAGAGCTATTGGTCAAGGGACTAATGGTTTTAGTTGCAAATGGTCTAAGGTTAAATTTGGTGTACTTTGGGACAGCCCTTGTTGTATCTTGGGATAGGTATAGCGATAAGGTGGGATAACAAGTGAATACGTGCTATGAAGAGACTGAATGCCTATTCTAACATCCTGCATAACTATTACTACATATCTAACGACATGAATGAAAACTATTGATTTTCGTTGGATGCGCTTATTTTAAATAATACATTTCTTGCTGTTCCTTTAGTATCATCTTGATTTCCACTGTGTAAATGACACATGGATTTCTTTTCTCTTCAGTTACACCTAAATGAAACGCCTTTGTAATAGAGGGACATTTTCTATATCAATTTCTTCTCTGTTTTGATACTTAATTCTTCAACAAACTTTTTGCAAATATTCGTTTTCATTCCCACTAGAACCTTAGGTGGATCCTTTGCCATCGCCGAATTTTCATGTTTAACTGTTTAGTTTTCTAGTCTCTTGAAAGTGTACTTGTTGCGTTTTATCTTTATTAAGGACTCGAGAGAAAGATCGATTGCCACGTCTGTTTGGCTTTATTAATCCTGCAATTATTGAGAATTACTAAGGTTCAATTTACTTAGAGTTGACTATTGTCTTTATCGTTGCCAGAATTGAAGATATGCCTTGGGCGCAAAATATGTTGCAAAAATACCAAGAGGACTTACGGTTGAACTTCCTCAATTGGTGCGCTGTGGCTAAAGAGGTAGGCGGTGCCGATGGAAAACACACTAAAGACTGGGGAAAACATTATGGAGAAACTCTGAGTATGTACTCGCATTTATTTAATTTAATACATCAACTAACTTCTCATATAACCGATTTCAGACGTTCTGTTACGCGATATGCTGAATGATATTCTAGGAGTGCAAGACAAAACTACCGATACCATCCAAATTTTACTTCAGAAACTTCAAAGGCTATGTGAGGCGTTAAAGGAACCGATGCCTAATATTGGAGCTGATGGTCTTTGTCTTTACGAAGAACAAAAGCGACTTCAAAATTACATCGCAAAGTATGTGATATTGGGGGGCTTTAATTTCAATTCTATTTTATTGGGCCGCTTCAATTTACAGATGGGAATCGGTACTTAATTTAAAAATACAGGAGCTAAAAAAGTTTGAAAAGAAGTACTTGACCTTGTGCAAATCGCTGGGAGAAGAGCCCAGACTTAAATGGGAGTATCCTCGAATGCCTATTGCTGATGCCTTGCATACTTACGAATGCTCTATTCAACAACTAGAGACAACGTTGTTTGAAAGACATGAACGATTCTGCCATCTGAAAGCTGTGATTGCGGAACACGTTGAGCAGCTCCACTACAAACCTACCTGCGAATTTGAAAAAAAGGTGCAGCTTTGCGCTAACGGTTCAAGTAATACGCAATAATCACTGACTGTATTGTTTAGGTGTTGTCTGATGCTATCGTGGAATTTACGCAAAATAATATGGCACAATTGGAATGTTTTGCCGCAGAATTGGAAAAAATAAAGCAATCCATCGAAGACGACATTGCGCATTTGAGAAGTCGAATAGAAGATCTGTGGAACATGATTGAAACTGATTTGAAGTATCGTGATGATTTCAGGACTCTTCATGCCGGAAGTTCTTTGGATGTTGTTGAAAAGTTACGAGAAGAGCTGCGCAGGTGTGAAGTGTTGAAAAAGGAAAATATACAGGTAACTTACCGTAATTTTCGTGCTAGTTTCAAATCGAAGACCCTACTTTGTCGTCCCTGTTTATCGTTGTTCAATGTTTAAATCTGTATGTATAACTATAAAAAAATTCATATCGGGTGTCAATTTGAAAACTTCCCACCCTTTATATCTTTCTTGCAGTTAAAAATATGAAAAATCCGAAAAACCTGTCAATTTTATTTGTAAGGGGACACTTTAAATGAATATTTTTAGCCTCCTTGTTTCAACCCCTTAGGAGGGGTGGATGTCACCCTTAGAATCTTAAATGGGAAGGGGGGTCAAGTGGCACAACGTTTTAAAGGGCGTTCAATATTTATATTTTTAACTGCAACAAAGCTATTAAGGGTGGGAAGTTTTAAAATAAACACCCGGTATAAAGTAAAATAACGATTTTTAACTTTTAATTACTTACACTTTTGGATTATCGCGAATTTGTCAGAATATTTTCTCAAATTGTTAGCCTTCTATTTTACATTGTGTTGCAATAAGTCCCAGAATATAGAATTTTATAACAGTATCTTCAGATTTGCTTGAAATATTGCTAATTTTAAATAAAAAAATGAAAATAAAATGTTAACTTTGCCATCCTGTATCTCAAAAACGAAGCTGTTTTCAATATCTGATTGTATACTAATTTCATCTTAAATTTTTTTTAGGATTTTGTTGAAAAACTAAGAAGTAGATTGGAAGAACTATGGCGAAAGTGCCATTGTGCAGAATCGGTAAAAAGCTCATTTACGTGCTTTTATAGCGATTGTTACACTGAAGATTTATTAGATTTACATGAAATCGAAATTGATAAATGGGAGAAATATTACAAAGATAACAAACAGTTGATACAATTAGTGGAGAAACACAAAGAATTGTGGCAAGCGGTAGTTATATACAATTATATTAAATATTTGTTTGCAATGATCAAGTAAACTCTTCAGGTAAGGGTTCTGGAGGAAAATGCTTCAGCAACGAACCGGTACAAAAACCGAGGTGGAAACTTATTGCAAGAAGAAAAAGAGCGCAATAAGTTATCAAAACTCATACCGAAACTTGAAGCAGATATTTTTGCTCTATGTGAAGAATACAAGAACAATAATTCTGGGGCTTCATTTACGACATTTGGTCAAACTCCTGAAGCTACTATACAATATATGCATGAAAAGCGTGATATTGTAAGAATAATTCCTAAACGTTTAGTTTTGCAGTAATTTCTAATCAGTTATTTTTCAGGATCGCAGAATGAAGCTGAGCGCCCGTAAGATGCAACGAGAACTAACTCCGGGGCTAAGTAGCACCAAGTTACCTGTTAGCTGCTTTGGCGCTTCTACTAGTAAAATGGTCGTCACGCCTACGGCTAAAAGGAAGCTATTAGCCTCGCCAAATCCAACAAAAAAACTAAAAAATGAAGTACAGAAGAATCCTAAAGCCAGTGAGTAGAATATTTGCCTGCTTGATCTTACGACGTTTAGATATTACGAGATTACGTGGAATATTTAATTTTACTTTTCTACTACTGGTGTAATCTGGTGATTGGTGTAAATGCATAGTCAATATACAAGACACTTGTATTTTTTTATTGCTTGTTTGTTGGGCAATTTTGCTTTATTTTGGTGACCGTCCGTCTTAACTTTTACTTAAAAATTCGCATTTAATTTTTTTGGAGTTTCAATTGTCTTATAAGTTGGTCAGAATCAGAATTGAAAGTCTGAAAAATATGTAAGTCAGTTGCTATAACAATCAATGGAATGGAAGAAACAGACAGAATTTTTTATTTGTCGGTTCGGCTTGCATCTGAACCTTTAGTTATCTCTATTGTGGAATAAACTCACTTGAAGAAAATCATAAAATATGTTAGCTTTAAGAGTCTTGTTTTTTGCTAAATTCATTTCTTCTATGTTTTTATAAAAATAAAAATAATCCACGGCATATCCGAAGTTTGGTACATTCATATTAGTTGTTCTTGGAAAAATTAGTTTGTCCGCTAAAGCGTGCTTCCATCTAAATTTTCGAGGTAGATTAAAACCATTTTTAAAATAAATTCCACAGGAAATATTGTTCTCTTTATTTTAAAAACATCAATCAATAAATACCTATGGTTCTTATCTTCTAGCACCGTTAGCAAAACATTTTCCGAAAAAAAAGATAACTGTGGCTACACGTCCCCTGGCAGGCCAAAAGCGAAGATCTCAAACATCTATAGAGAGGCATCAGCGTAGGAAGTCTGGTCGAAAAACCAGTCGAATAGCTCCCCTCATTAATGAAGAAAGCGACCACGATACTCAAAGCACAACCTATACGAAATTTGAGGTAATGAGTCACCTCACCATGATACATGATTTTTTTCTTTGCAAAACTGCAACTTTTAGGTGGTTGAAGGTTTCAGGATTAATATTTCTTCTTTTCATAGCATTGTCTGCAAGTTTTTTCTTGGTAGGAGGGATGTGGTTTTTTAAAATTTAATCATAATGTCTAACAATTTAGCTCTTAACAGCAATAATTTATTTGCAGAAAGCTCCATTGGCGAACAGCTCTTTTCGAAAGGGTCAGTACCAAGTTTTTGTTCTTTTAGCTAAGCTGTGTGTTTTTGCCGATCCTAAATACGTGTTTTTGTTGATTGTTTTAAGATTTAGGACTCATTTAGTTTTTTCAGATTTGGGTTTTACTGCAGGTCATTTGTGGTTACACTTTGCCTTGCTTAGTTAGCTTAATGCTTGAACATGATTTGGGGCTATCATTAATGCATGTATATCTCTCTAAACACTACGATATTTGTGAGTGAACATTTCATAGTCTACTAATTTTGCATAGATTAACATTCATAAGTTCTTTGCAAATATCGATAATACATAATATTAAGTCCAATAGTTCGTAATGATTTCGATCTCAATGTTAAATTTCGGTTTATTATCACTAACTGGGTGTTACTATGTTGAATTGCGGCCCGTTAGTCATATTCTGGAAAATAGTTTTCGATCTTTGCAGCTTTGCACAGTTTATTGAAATTCATACATAGTTTCTAAATAATTGCGTTCTGGCAAGTTTCCTAATTAGTTCAATTCTATTATAGATGGAGCAACTTTCCAGTAACGAGGCACACAGCACGATTATTCACGAGCAAATATCACCTTCAAAAAAGACACCGAACAGAGTTCTTTTGACCGTGCCATCACCTAGAAGTCCTTTAACACCGAAGACTCCGTCTCAACTCAGTACTTGTAAGACCAACCTGAAATTGTTGTTTTGATCCGTTGCAATATGATTTTTAAATTTTTGTTTCGTTGCAATATGTTTTTTTAATGTTCGTTGCGTTCTGTTGTGTAGTAAGTTGACTGTGCGACTTAAAATGACACTATGACCGTGAAAAATTTAATTTAAAATATACTATATCGAAATTATGTGTTTTTCAATACAGAATTTATAAATGGAAGGATACAGGTGGGACAAGTCTGAGTCGGTAAATTTTGTATTAGCGAAAGAACGACGAATTGATTGAATATCAACGACCGTGAGAAGTAGGACAACATTTTGGAAAATATTTTATTTATGTCGTATTTGCATTTGCCAAAATGAAATGCCAGATCTCAAATGTGTTCGTTGTTCTCTAAAACAAGATTTGTCAATGAAATTCCGCGAAGAACAGGAACGCAATAAATTATCGAAAGTTGAAGTCGATATTTTTGCTCCATGTTAATAATACCATATGTCTACATTTACGACTGTGCAGGGTGTCCCGTAAGCTAATGATCAAAAGGGTACTGCGATATTCTTTGGACCAAAAGAAGACGACCCGACCTAACTTTTATTAATAAAAAAGTCTGGCTCCTCTGCTATTGATGGTAAAAGTTCTTCAAAAAATTTATTTTTTTCGAAATATCGGGAGAATGGTATGATGTATTTTAGTGAAACTCGCTGTGAATTTGTTCTTATGTAAGACTCATATTTTGATGAAACAATCGAGTTCAGCCGTTTTGGACAAGTGCTGAATTCTTGAGTGTCGTGGTACAAAAACTACCAGAATTTTTTAGTTGGAGAATGAAATCAACTCATTTTTTTAAGTTGATGCACTAATCATTTGTTCACAATTTTGTGCTCTTTGTAAAATCTTGTAGCATTAATAGTTTTTGCGTAAAAAAATCACTACTTGTCCAAAACGGCTGAACCCGATTGGTTCATCAAAATATGAGTCTTACATAAGAACAAATTCACAGCGAGTTTCACTAAAATACATCGTACCATTCTCTCTCCCGATATTTTGAAAAAAATAAATTTTTTGAAGAACTTTGACCTTTAATAGCAGAGGAGCATTTTTTGTTAATAAAAATTAGGGCAGATCGTCTTCTTTTGGCCCAAAGAATATCGCAGTACTCTTTTGATCATGAGCTTACGGGACACCCTGTATATCTGTAACAAAAGAGTTGTTCAAAAGTGCTTTGATTTGCAGTTATTGTACAGTATCGCAGAATAAAGTTTAGCGTCAAACTAAACAAACATTTCAAGCAAATACCTTTCTCTGGAAATACACAACATTTCAGCTTTGCATGAAGTCGAGATTGAAAACAGGAAGAACTATTACGAAAATAACGAACAACTGATTATAAAACAAACAATGATAAATAACTGATACAGTGTGAGTGGGTAATTTTTGTATTAGAGGAACACCCATAATGAATTAAATAAATTATCCTCTGGCTGTAAACGGGAATATGAATGGGGCAAAGGACAACACTCTTCTTTATCTTCTTCGCTTCTCTTACTTTATCGCAATCGTTCGCCTTTGAACACAGTTAACGCTATGAAAAGATTGAAGAATTTGTGGGAAAACTTCATTTATAACAAATATCCCATTTACTTCAATATAGATTTGTCCCTAAAATTTGTTGAGCTTTTTCAACTGATTCTGTCTCTTAATGGCCATTTTCCTTATTCTTCGCCAGTATTCTTTGGAATTGGGATCCAGTTCCTCTAAGGGTGGTGGTGGGCCAGTTCGAATCTCCCAAAGCCAGTCTGGATAATCGCTATCTTCGCCTAGTTTCACATCTTCTCCCGTTGTGTATATATTTGAACCGCAACAGTAATTCACTAGTCTTTCTGGATCGGTTTCCACAGGTAACACTTTTTTTTCAATTACTGCACCAGCTTTGCCCCCAATTTTTTTCTTCTTCATGCCCAGCATACTAACACCTAATGAAATAAATTAAACATATTTCTATTGCTGGGCTGATAAGAACAAATAATCTATAAACTATTATAATTTAATACATTTACATTTTATTTAATATCATTTACTATTTATCACGTTTTTGCATAAACGAAGTCGGATATTTTAACCGTTTGCGTTTCGCGGATTTGTTCCTGCAATAGCCTCACAAAAACTAGATGCAGAAATAAGCTTTCTATGGCATATTTACAATTTAAGTACTGATTCAAATGTATATAATTATAGATACAAAATATTTCCATACGTTCGTACAACAGCAATAGAGATCTTGGCGGGGCTCAAAATAATTTTCAAGACGTTATGGTCAAAACGAAAACACACAGCTTTTTGCTTTTTTATTGCGTTAATTAATTAACGTATTATTCTGAGCATATGAAAGATTTTACTGTGCCGGAAAATGATTGTTTCACTTTCGATTAATTATCCTGCATAACTGGGGATACAATAAACCGTCGGTCTCTCTTGTTTTAATGGAGTCCCAAAAGATGAGCGATTAGTTTGAATTTTATGGGCCTTTGCCAATAAGTCTTGCATGTTCTTAATGCGACTTTTTCATCAGCTTTTTTCGAATTAAAGTTTACATACCCGTATTAGTACTATACATAAGTTAAGTAATAACAATAAATATCTGCTAAAAAGTACTTACTACTGGCGACTTTTGCATAGTGGTTTCTTGGAAAATTCAATTGGAAACCCACAACAACATTTCTACTTATTGCCATTGCGGCTTTAAAACTGATTACACTCATTTGGACCGGAATTAATTATTAATTATTTAACTAGCAATAAATGGCAATGAGATGCCACGGACGGAAGTCAAAGAACGTCAGTAATGTCAAACCAGTGCCGAATAACCTAAAAATCTATTTATTTTTAATTTTATATTAAAAAATATATAATGGTTTAAAAACCAATATCTACAAATTGACTAAATTATGAATCAACAGTTAAGACTTTAGAACTATTAAAAATTATAAAATCAACGTAGACACATTTAAATAACAACAAAAAGTGCATATTACGAACACCAGCAACCATCACTAAGCAACATAACCACAATAAACAAATCGCATTTAATTTGGGTTATAAATGTCAAAAAGGCAACAAAATAAAAAAATCTTCATAAAAATGATTAAATAAAAATCAGTGAAAGAACATTCCTTTATGGAATATAAATGCCAACTAGTAGCACTGCTGCTACTAACGTAAGTACTGTTCCGGTCCCATTTTAGTGGTTTAACACCAGGATTTTTAGGAGAAAAAGAAGGGCGTTAGGTTGCTACCCCAAAAAACTTCAGATGCCACCGCTCCAAGCTCGAAAAATAACTCCGATAAGCAGCTGCTTAAAATAGCTCCGGCGTTACCGCTAAACAGCAGGCGTCCGCTTTATGTTCGATCACATAGCACTTTAAATGCAGCCAGCATATCTAAAGCACAAGAGAATCCCGTGTATGACTGCATTGCTTTGCAAGCAGGTCCAGACGGTGTCCTATGCGTTTCACGAACACAAAACGAGAAAGAAAAACAGCCGGACCGCATTAGTTTAGATAGAAGAGGCCTGACGCATATTCCTGTTATAGAGGGGGAGTCCAGGTAAGTACCAACAATCTGACTACAGTTCCTACATGCTAAAAAAACTTTTCGTTTCAGATTGAGATTATTATCATTGCAGCACAATTTGATAATAAATTTAGAGACTTTGACAAAACAGAAGTTTCCCACTCTTGTTTTCTTAGATGTATACGATAATCAGTTGGAACAGATTCATTGCCTTGAAGTGTTGGAGAATTTGCGGGTGCTGCTTATGGGAAAAAACAGGTGAAATTACCCAGTTAATTAGGGAGTTGATTTCAATTCTTATTTTGGTAGGATTAAAAGGATTGAGGGCCTAGAATGTTTAAAGAGACTGGAGGTTTTGGACCTACATGGCAACCAAATTTTACAAATCGTAGGCCTCACTTCACTATCCGAGTTGAAAGTGTTGAATTTAGCTGGAAATCAAATTCGTATTGTGGGGGGAAAGGACTTACAGGGCTTGGATTCTCTTCAGGAACTGAATTTGAAACGAAATCGACTAAGAAAGTTGCTGGGATGTGGTGAATTGTATTGTCTGACCAAGTTGTTTGTTAGCAATAATGATCTTCAAAGGTAAGCGTATAGTAAGTACTTACTTACGGTTGGACGTTTTTTGGATCAATTTTTTGTAGCGTTGAAGATATAAGTAGCATCGCCAAGTCCCCAAATATTAAAGAAATTTCGATAGATGGGAATCCGGTATTTTTATCAGGCGATTGCGTATCATTTTTAGTTTCTTATTTGTCCCATCTAGTCAAGTTAAACAATATGCTGATTACTGACCAGGTAATTTTTAGTGGTGAATTTAAATTAAAATTATTGCTCGCATTTTTTTCCGGCTTAATAGGTTCGTAAAGCTGCAATGGCTTGGAGAAGAAACAAGGAAAATACTAATGCCGCCTTTATGGATTTAACCAGTGAGACTTCTTTAAACTATAGGAGGGAAGAGGTGATATCAAATGCCAGAACGAACTGGGAACTACTTAGGTACGTAACATCAGCTAAGATCTAAAGACAATTACTCCAGTTGGTAGAGGGTATTTAGAAATAAATAATAAGTATCCGCTTGCATTAAGGCAGATTATTAGCTTGGCATCAATCTAAAGTTAAGGGGCAAACAAGATATTTTTTTGGAAATTTGGCCACAACTACGGACGTTTACTTGAGATTGATTAAAACTTACTGAAATTTGGTTAACTGGTGGTTCGATGTATCTTTAACACTCTGTATGAATTGCAAGTTTATTCCCGTTGTAGTTTTCTTGTTTTTTTCGTTGCATGATCGTATGCCCAAAAAGCACAACGACATCTTAAAGACGTCTTTAAGATGTCTAATTCAGATATGTGAGACGTCTGTATAGGTCTTGAAGACGTCTTAAAGACGTTATTTTTCATTTGTAACAACATTTTTCGTTTGTAACAAATGAAGACGTCTTAAAGACGTCTTGAAGAGATGTCTTAAAGACTTCTTGAAGAGATGTCTTAAAGACGTCTTGAACAAATGTCTTAAAGACATCTTCTTGAAAGGCGTTTTCAAGGGTGTTAGGAATATTCTATGAGAAATTCCCTATTAGAAATGTAAAGTAAAATAATATGTTTTTATTTCATTATTTTTTTGTATTTTGCCTATCAAATACAGGCTATTTTGTTAGAAGATAATTTTGTTGAAGGTTTACCACAACACTATAATAACAAGAGTTTTTAGTAACATCCAAGCAAACCAAGTGCATATAGTCTAACGGAAAAGATTTGATCATGTCAAGTTTGGGTAGTTTTTCTAAAATTGGCTTCCCAGTATAATGGTTGTCATCAGTTTTTTGTCGGAAGTCACAATCTCTCCTTATACGTAGGTTATGTATGTCATGAAAATAGACCCTATAAGAGTAATTTCCTTCAACATTACATTTTGAACAGGAAGAATAGTCAGATTGACCTTTAATATATTTTACATATGATTTTGCAGGAGCGTCACAAATAATTGCTTTGATATATACTGCAAAATGTTAACGATCATAAGTAGGATAACCTTCAAATTCATTGTCGTCTGCTATGGAATCAGTATCCGAATTATGACATAAAAACTCACTACTGTCATTGACATTAGGATTAGTGATTGGTTCACTTGTTGCACTTGCAACGTTGAGTTGTTTGAGCTGCACCCAGGCTGTGAAACGATGTCACCACTGACCGAACTCAAGGGAATTGTAAATTTTCTGTCTTTCGGTGGCCCCTCATATATATATGATGTTTGTTTAGCTTACCACTTGCACATATTCGCTTCGTGTTCGGTTCTGTATAAATCGTAAATTCACAAATTTAAAAAAAAACTAAACAGCTAAATACAGTGTATAACTAACCGCAATAGACGATTTAATAAACGAAATTAAATGTTTTCACTGCAATCGGATGCACTCGAGCAAGTTCGTCAAAACGTCTTGTAGTAGACATTTAAGAGACGTCTTGTGTCAGGCATTAACAAGACGTCTTGTAGTAGACATCTTTAAGATGTCTTAAAGACGTCTTCCAGAGACATACGACGTTCAGACATAATAGCGGCATAAAGAAGACGTCTTAGAGAGATCTTGTGCTGTCTCTGTGAGCTGTTGAATTTTTTGCCTTCAAGTTTGAAAACGTGCCGAATATCCGCGCAGTTTCAAAACTTACTAAAATGTTGTTAAATGGTGGTACGATATATGTTTAACACTCTGTATAATCCTTTTTTGACATTTATGTGCTCTTTGTAAAATCTTGTAGTATTCCTAGGGTTTGCGCCAAAATTTATTTCTATTTTCTTCCCACTTAATAATTTTAGACATTAATTGATTTTTTGCTTTAACGAAACTTAATTTACGTTTATTTTTATTATCTGAAGAGTGTTTAGACATATTTCAATGAAACTTGCTGTGGATTGGCGCACAAACATGTCAAGAAATGATTAGTTCGAATGAAAACTTCAAGTAGTTTTTGTACCAAGACACTCAAGCACCTTTTGTGCACACCCAAAGTGCATGAACTCGGTTGCTTCATCAAAATAATATAATATAATACAAAATAACAATAAAATTTATTTTTTTATTCAAACTTTTTTTATTAATAAAAGTTAGGTATGGTTATCTTTTGAGCCCAGTAATATAATACACTGCCCTTTTGATCAGGTGCTAACGGGACACCTTGTATAGATTTCTTAGTAAACCCTGCTTTGAAGAAAAAATCTTAGTTCGTCAAAAAATAAAAGTCTAAGTCGTCTAATTTATTTTTAAGCAAATATCTTTAGTTTAGACTAACGAACTTTTATTAGTGGGTAACAAATTGAAGTTTTTAATCTTCTCCTGAAAAAGCCTGTGTAAATAAGTTATTTTTTAGATCTCAAACCAAGTGCCTAGCAAATACCGTGACTACAGTAGACAAATCAATGAAAAATTTGAAACCTGGTAGTGATTTCGTCCTCACATCGTTAACCAATCCCAACATAAAGCCGCCACTTAAGCCCTCTCCTCAGAAGTCCAAGTCTTTCATTAAGCTATCATCTAAAGTGCCTTTACTACCGAACAAAAAATTACACGTGGTTAGAACGATGTCTCAAGATACTGAAACCTCCCAAAATACTTCCAGTGGTGCCTCAAATGAGTTGTTAAAGTTGCCTCCCATATTAGTCCCGATTATTAGTAAGTTGGAGAAACAGAGCGAAGCTTATAAGGACCATGGTAATATTATTTGAAATATTAGCTTTATCTACATACTGTTCTATATTCATTGAGCAGGTTTACTGAAAAGATCATGCAGCTTGTCCAGTTTGGGGCCTAACATTGATAGCTCAAGTTCGATGGCGAGTGGGAGCGAAATAGCTCAATCTAGCTCTAGTAGCTCAGAAACGTCTGAGTCCGATTCCGAACAGGAAGACATTATCAGCAAGGAACCGACCCTTTTGGGCGGCGCTATTAAACAAATTTCGGTGGCGTTGTCTGATCGAGATCTTAGTTTCTCAGGGGAAACGCAAAAGGCTTCGAACAGCACCCCAGAGGATACGTCGAGCAATTTGTCAGGATCTACTAATACGAACAGTACCTCTATTATTAGCGTGGTGAGCAGTGAAAGCGAAAAAGACAGCACAAAATCCAACAGTACTACAACTTCAGGCAGAAATGTGAAAAGTGCAGTGAGTAATCGGACATTGCCAGTTAAAGGCAACAGTAGAGCTGCCACTGCAAAGGCAAAGAAGGGCTCATCTGTGTCGCCCGTAGTGCCGAAAGATCGGTAAGTGATCAACATTGGTTTATAAACCGTTCGAGACAATATCTACAGGGATTTTTTTACCGGAAAACAGTTGGTCGTACGACGGAAATTAAAGAGTGTTTTTTTCTTCAGAATTGAGCAATCAATTAAGATAAATTCAACCTCTAATCCTCAACGATATAGAACTTATCTACAAAATGTATAACGCTTTTTTTTTTAAATAAGACTAAGATAATGCTTTTCAGAGAACAAGGTGGAGATTATTTAATAGAAATATGTGGTAGACATTTAAACGTATATGGCCAAGGAGCCTTACGATTCATCGACAAGCCATGGAATATTGCTAAAGCCCACGATGTCACTACCATCAAGTTCAATTATGTGAACTTTAACAGCATTGTAGGCTTTTTGAATAAAATTAAAAATAGGTAAGTCTAGGAAGTTTTCCAAGTCTTCTACTTTGATTCGATTTCTGTTTTTTTGAACAATCAACCTCTTTTTCATTTTATTTCAGATTTCCAAACGCCGATCACTACGTGTTCAAAGAAACTAATATTTTATGTCTTGGGCAATTGAACGCCATCTCAGAAGTACAAGGACTATCATCGGTTACAATTGACTCGGAGGGCAACCCGATCGCTAATAAAGAGTGGTACAGTTACGCAGTTTATCGGTTGGCTCATTGGGGATTAAAAACTATAAATGAGAAAATGGTTAGCAGTTCATACGTTTGAGATACATAAGCTTTAAGGATGTTACTTGACTGGGCTACATTAAAGGGTTAAGTCGTGAAATTCAGCGTCTTCACCAAACGTAAAAAAACTATAAAAACGCATGTATCTAATTTACAAAAACGACAAAATTATTTATAATCAGTAGGTCACGATCATTTGTATACACTGCATGTGAAAAAATAAAAAAAGATAAGAGAAAGAAGAAAGCGGAAGATGACAAACTTTTAGAGCTTGATTTCTGATGTGTAGGAACCACAATAAATTTTACCAATAATTCGGTATTATACTATTCTATATTCGGTATTACTATAAATTAGTGAGGACGTTTTAAATTACCACTATTTGTTTAACTGACGAAAAATCTACATGACTTAGCCCACAGTGCTTACTGCTTTCGATCAAAACATGTAGGGTTTTTGGCAAACATGTTTCTATTACAGATCACCGAAGAAGATATTAGAAAGGCCAATGAAGAGTTTCAAAGTTTGAGCGACTTGGTTTTGTGGTCTTTGCCCAGTGCTTTATTACAGCCTTTGCTGGTTCGGCTTAGAATCGATGTGAACCATGGGGTGACCGAACAGAATGCGAAAAAATGGCTCATGAGAGCTGATCCAGCACTGAGAAGCGTTGTCAGCAAAGAGGCGTTACAATGGAAAAAAGGCTCTGTTAGTCAGGTAATTATTTCAACAAGGTGAAATGTTTTTACTTATTATTGGTTTTAATAATTTTTCAAGGATGATTTGGCGTTAAGGCAAAAGGCCCGGCAGCACATATGCGGCCTGTTAGAAGAAATGACTAATGCTATGAATAAGCTGAAAATATTAGATCAGGATTGGCCCCAAATTATGCACGATTTTACGCAAAACACGTTACTGGACTACTCACAACTCGACTTGTATGTTAAACAAAAAATCCAAGAACTGAAGTAGGTAATGAAATTCTCTTGGAATTTATCATTTCCTCGACAAGAAAACATCTGTGTACAGGGGCAAAATAAGAGTCCATTTACGGTAGTAGTTATACATGATAAATGAACCGTTCTGTATACAGAATTTAATGTTTAATTAATTCATTGATTAACTGGCTTGTCCGGGCCCGTTATTTGGAAACATTTGTTGACTCAAGTTTAAACGTATTGTGTAATTAAGGGAGTAATTCTGAAACAATAGCAAAGCAATAAAATAAAATACGTTTAAAAAGGAAATTAAAAGTTTGTAAAAAGCCAACAAAGCAGTTAAAGTAACAGTATCTTGTAGTTGCACAAGTGATTTTTATAAAATATGGAATATTTCATAAAAGCAACTATTTTTCAGGAGCCGCTCTTATATATATAACAATCAAGACACTGCCTCATATTTATTGACACTTTTCGATTCACCATACTGTTTTGATAAATATTGTTAAGTGCTGTCTTGAATGACTAATTAAACTTAATTTTATAATTAACTTATATGCTCCGACTTTGATTTGATAAATCCACCTTTCAATTATGGTTTCAAGTTGGTTTTTTCGTATTTTTTTAATAATATTTTTGAAGTTGACTTGAAAACAACTTTCTTGTGTTAATAATTGCCAATTTTAATCGAGACTTTCGATTCACGAATAAAGGCAATATGTATCGTAACGCAGTTATCATTTAGCGATTGATACGAATTTGGATAAACTTTTCGGGGCAGGAATAGCAAACGCAGCTAATATTAAGTCAAGGAAATATTTGAATCAAGGAACATTTTCAAGAAATTAATAATATTATTAGGTGATTGTGTATCACTTCATAGCTAGAACTGTTAAAAATATATCCGCCAGATGCTTGACATTTATGACTTTGGCCAACTTCATCAATCAGTCAAGTGCTAAATCACAGCTGTTTTGTTCTGAACATCTGAATTTTGGAGTTTTCTTTAGTCACCTTAAACTGTTCAATATTAAACGTACAGAATTTTCAGCCATTTATTCTAATCAAGGTGAGTTCAATTTAGTTGCCCATAGAAGAATTTCTCCTTTGCATTTTTTGTAGGTCAAATTTGTCGTGCATTAATAGCGTAAGAGATTATTTTTATCAGCGACATGAAATTGTCATCTACCCCAGAGGCTGAAAGTCCCTCAGAAGAAGCAGTGAAAACCGTGGGTTGCGCTCATTATAAAAGAAAATCCAAATTTGTGGTAAGTCAAACTGCGAATGAATGCTGAAAAACTATTGCGGACAAACAATGCTTTTTGTTCAAAAGTATTTTTAGAACTACTTACTTAGACCGTGTTAACTGTGACGAAAGTAAACTAATGAAACAAATCATACAGTTGTTTTCTAAGCAGAGAATGAAAAGCTGCAGTATTTTGAAGCTGGCAGGTTCACATACATTTGAAAAAGTAGTCCTACTAATTGAAATGTACAATTTGGTCTAGTGGGGACAGTGCAGCTATTGCACTTCGTTACCTGTTTTAGGCAGGGCTTTAGCTGATATTTTATTCTTTGTTTTCTAAGTACAGGGTACACCGGTATAGTTAGGGAGCTACTTTCCAAAAAGTAGTTATTGCAAACAAAGAATATATTTAAGTTTCCAAAACATTTTAAAAAATTACAGAGTGGTTGATATAAATTGTCCTCTAACTTACCTAGGGTGTATCTCGCGAATTAATTTCGATAGATGACTGCAAATTTAACTGATGGTAGTTAATCATATTATTTATGTATGTTTCAAAGCATTTTACTCTAATTTGAAATAGAAAATAATTTATACGCGATGAAATTCAAACGTAACAGTGTGTTTATTGTTGCTCTTTATTTGGCTGCGAAGGACATCGTTAATCAGTTCGAACGTACTGAAAGCATACAGCATTGCAAAACAGAAACATTCGAAAAGTGAACGCACGAATCGAACAAAATCCGCGTTGGAGTGGAAGAAAAATGGCTTCTGAACTGCACATAATGCTTAAACAAGTGCAACACATATTGAAAAATGAGTTAAAAGCCAAGCCGTGAATGAAAAGTACACGAAATGACGATAGATGGCAAATTCTCCGGATGCCAACCCAATAGATTTTTCTTTCTGCGGTATTTTGAGTGCAAAAGTTTGCTCAAAAAATAAGAAAGTTTTGAAGCTCTCAAGAAAACATTTTAGCAGGAATGGTAACGTATATCACAGTCACTTGCGTGCAGCGTGCGATGCCTTCATCCAATACCGTTCTGTTCTTAAGAGAGGTGTTGGTTCATCAAGGATATTGTCAAGACAAAATGCGATCAAATTGAAAACATTTAAATGCAATTTTTTAAATTGAATATTTGGAAATATGTATTTTTTTGAAGTAAATAAAATGATAAAGAAACAAAAATAATACATGTTTTTCATCATGGGACACTTTATATCTAGTCAGGCTGCTATATTTCCACAATTAAGATAAATGTCTTCTTAAGAAGTAATTAACTAAGTAATTCAGCATAATTTTCTTCGTCATAACGTTCTTTTTAGCGAGTTATCCGCTTTGTCTGAGGACTATTCTGCATTATCTTCAGATTTATTGCACAAAAAATCAGTTCTTTCAGATTGCTTGCTTCTAGTTAAAATATCTTTATAAATTTTCTTATACACTGCATTTATAAACAGTGGAATCAATTCGATTAAAATCCTGGGATTAAAAAATGGCAAATTTACGACAAAAATTTGGTATTTAAGCAAGCTGGAGATTTAGTTATGATTTTTGAAAATAATTTTTTTAGACACCCTGTTGCCAGAAAGTCTACACTTGCCGCTTTTGTCATGATGAAAATGAAAATCACACCATGAATAGAAAAGAAGTGACTGAGCTGATTTGCACTGTCTGCTACATCAGGCAGCCTGTGAAAGCTGACTGTGAAAATTGCGGCGTCCGTTTCGGAAAGGTAATAAAAATATATCTAGCCCAGAATTAAACTGGCATATTAATGCGATTAACGACTGAAAATGTGATATACTGCGAGAATTTTTTTTTGTTCATACCAATTAATTATTTCAGTACGTGTGCCTGGAGTGCAATTTATTTGATGACGAAGAGAAAAACCAGTTTCACTGTCAAGGCTGCGGCATTTGCAGAATAGGCGGTGCTGAACGATTTTTTCACTGCAAAAAATGCAACATGTGTTTGCCGGTGCAACTTCAAAACGGCCACAAGGTAAAACACTTACAGATATGCATGAACCACAATGGAAAAAATATTAAATTTACCAAGCGTTTATTTTAGTGTGTAGAAAATGTATCGCGATCAAACTGTCCAGTCTGCTTGGAGGATATCCATACTTCCCGCATACCGTGCCACATTCCAATGTGTGGACACCTTCTGCATAGGACCTGCTTCGAGCAGCTTCTACAAGCCGGACATTATGCCTGCCCCATTTGCCAAACTTCCTTGATGGATATGACGCAGCTTTGGAAATATTTGGATCAGCAAGTGGCGGACACCCTTATGCCTCCGGAATATAAAGATTACATGGTTTATATTTTGTGCAAGGATTGTCACAAGGTAAATACTTAAATACTTTTTTATTAAGGTAGACACTTTAAAGGGCAGACGAAAAGTTTTTTGGCAAATTGAGCAAGAGAGATGTTATGGAATTTCGTGCTCAGAAGCATCTGAGCTGGAACTAGAGTTTTGAACCAGCTAGAATGTTAGTACAATTTTTTGCTTCGTTCCAACATTTGATCTCGGTATATTGGGACCCCGTTAAATGAAAATGCGCCGAAAGTATTAACTGAGCTCGTTCTAAGATATTAATTTTAGACATGTATAAGCGCAAAAAAATAATATGGCACTATTTCTACATTGTCCTAATTACATTTTTTTGTCCTACTCTTTTCCCATACTATCGGTCGGTTAAAACCTCGGGGCTTATAAGCCGTCGGTCATTAGAGTTGCTTCCAAACGTTTTGCGCAAATTATCGAAGGTGATGAAGTAACGGTGGAAAAAAAATTATGATCAGTTTCTTGTGCATTATAGTGTTTTAAAGTTTAACAAAAATCTCGTGTTCAGCTGCTGATTGCCATTTTTTACGAGAAATTCTCCCCTGTTAGTGATAAAAGTCGTATATAATAAAGACCTCTTATGCCTTCTTGTCTATACTGGACCATGAAAACCTCATTATATGGCTTGGAAACTGTTAATCACAGAAGAAAACTGGATTTTGCTCATATTTCACGTGTCGTCTAATCACTTACAGTAAAATATTTTGAGCCAGACCACGCATTCATGTCGGCCGACTCATACCACTACAATCTGGAAAAACCTTTAAAAAAATGGGGAAGGTTTACGACTTTCAAAACTTTGTTTCGGCTGTGGGAAATGCATCGAAACACGTGATCATCATTGAAATGCCATTAAACATTTTTTGACTGAATACAAATTATGTTCAACATGTATTAAGTACCTTGTAAAGAAATTATATCTGCCTGGCATTCCGAGTTTGAGATCCAACTTTCTGATTCAAAACAATGAATTTTGCAGTTACGACTTTTGTCACTAACAGGCGAAAATTGAGCTTATCCACATTTATTAAATGTGTAAAAAATCTATATTTTTTTTTAGAAAAGCATGGTCCCATTTCATGTGGTAGGTTTTAAATGTTGCCACTGTGGCTCCTATAACACTTGCCGTATTAAAGGGCCGGTAAATCCTACAGGTAAGTTGAATGCATCGTGCTGATATTTGCTTGCTAAAAAGCATTTGATTTATGTGATTAGGCGCGCTAGATAATCAACCGGCTAATGGGGAAGGAAGTAATGCTGCTAATAACAACGATCAACCAGAAGAAAATGGCAATATGCAGGAACTTCGAGATAGGTTGGCACAGTAGCATTTGGTTTCCTTGTCGTTAGTCACATTTCTTTTGTGCTCATTTGTGATCTTCCTATTGCTGATGTGTTTTAAGCCATTCGAAAACCTTGTTGATTTTTGAAACTTGACATTTTGAAGTCAGGTAAGTGGAAATTTGAGCACTGCAAAAACCGCTTTCGAAGCAGAAAGTAGTATTCACTTTATAACGTATTTAAACTGACTCCGATCTACTGTGCCAATGGATATTAAGCTAGTTTGTAGATCGATTGAAACAAATACTAATTCAGATTTATGAGATTATGTAAAAGAACACAGCATTTTGTTTACAAAAGTGCTTCTTATTGAAGAATATTATGAACGAAGCTGTACTTTTATTCGGCAGCTTTAATCTGGTAAACACCAGAGCCGACGAACTGATATTTTTAGACGCTATGTACATAGAATTTAAAGACCGGTTTGTTCTATTATTATATGTGTAAGTTTATAATTTTTGCAGCTTATATGGATGTCGTAGAAGTAGGACTGATTTAAATCATAATCTAATCGCTATTACAACTGATCACTTTCACTTCTTGAGTTATTGTGAAAATACATATGCAGATACACTTACTACGGATAGGAAATTTTTCTAATCTTAGAAATTTGCTAGCGTTTTGTAGATGACCTAAGTTTCACTTTCATCAATATATTTGTAGATTTTTTACTTTTGTGTACATCTTGATGTGAGAAATCTCAGTTTAATAAATGGTGGAGCGCATGCAATAATTTATTATTATTTAAAATCCAATTTATTTCGAATTATAACTTATGATTTTATTTGACTTCGATATTATTATCGAAGTAGCAGCACAACCAATATTTTTGAATATTCATTCATGTTGAAATTTTTGTGGAATTACAAAATGGAACATTTTGTAATGTTGTTCAAGGCGTATGTATGGCTTGATTCACTTGATGAATGCCTTTTTCTTCAATGTCATTGACCGTTTGATTTTCCAAAAATTCCATTTATAATTTTTTTGGTACATTTTACATGTAAAATTTTACATATGCGCAAACATTTCCTTTGTAGATTTTTTAAATGTTTTTTAAAGTCGTTAGAGTGAATATACCTAAATTTGAATAATTTATTTGTAAATTATAAACTAAATTAAGTTACGAATGATATCGTTTTTCAGCTGAGAACATCGATAGTCTGTTCCTTCGCTGGCATCTTAGTTGCCGCCAAATACGGATTATCAATAAAACTATTACTCTGATTGTTCTCTTCGTTTTTAGGGTTTTCAGTTGGTTTATTTTCCACTTCTTCGCTTTGGTTTGCCTCCTCTTCCTTCTCCTTTTTGATGTTTTGGGCTTCTTTATGCTCTTTCTGTTGCTGCAAGATTTGACTTTTCGGATCAAAATCTAAGTCTTCTGGGTCGAAAATTTGATCTTGAGGTAACAGAGCACTCAAATACGGTGGATAAGATGGTTTGATCGCGATAACTAGAAATAAATAGTTGGTTTTCTGAAATTATTTCAATATTAAGACCCAAATAACTTTTGTATCAAGGAACATAAACTTACTTTTTACTTATAGAGATTATTGGATCCCATAGGGGCTCGCAAAAGATTTTACAATTTCACATTTCCAAAGCGTATAGTGATCAGGGGCTATTTTTATCAACGTTGCCGAGGACTTTCAACTTTAATTTTTAAATTGCAGAGCTTAGACTTTTAGACGCGCTCAGATATCCAAATGACGAGCTTTTTTATGCGCACATTAAATGGAAAAACCTTATTTACAACAACAATAGAGTTTGATCAGCAGTTCGCCTGCTAAATGGGCTCTAAGCTTTCAAAGTTGTGTATTTTGGAAACTGTGTTTAGCAAGCGAGATATTATTTATTCATATAAAGAACGCATAACAATTTTTAACGAACATATTAACCGTGTCCATCGGAACTATCTTTTAATTCGAAAATTGGTGCTTCTACCCGCTTAAAAATAAATGTGCAGATGAAGGATAAATATTCAATAAGTCCACAAAAACAACCGGTAGAACATTGAAATATGTATACTCACGTGGAAAAATATTGCCTTCCTCCGTATCAAACAAGTTATGTGTGGCGCTGGTTTTGGCTAGAAACTTTGTGAAAGCTTTCTCAATATCCTTCTTCTGCATGGCAGCCTTTTCCCTGACTGATTCGTAGTCGATGATTGGTTGTTTGTGAGTCTATGAAAGACAAATCATGTCGAAAATTTTCCAATTTTAAAACGGCGAACTTACAGGAGTCCGAACATATGCATGAGGGTCAGGGAATGGTGGTAAATGTTTGGGAATGTGACTCGGCAAAGGTTCCTTGAAACCTGCCGATAACATGTTGAGCTGCTTTTGAGCTTGTTGAGGCTGCAGCGCAGGTAACAATGTATGTTTACCTGCCTTTACATAGCCTTCGAGCGTATTGAAGTTAAACCCTATAAAACAATCTTATTATTTCGCTAATGGTTTGCTTTAACTAACTTACCCATTTCAGAAAACGCTAAAATAATATCTGCAATAAGAGGCTCGACTCGACCAGACAATTCGCAGTAGTTTCTGCTCAGCAGCCCTATTTCTGAAATGACTGAAAATACACATTGAAAAGTGAATATTCATGTGACATCATTTATTACAAGGATTTTTATTGATCATATAAGGGACATCCATCAGATAATCTTTTCCAAGTAGGTACTTACACGCTTGCATCATTTCAGTTAAAGTCCCCAAAGCATCTTTTTCAGCAGTATCAAAGCCACATTCTTTCAGAACGCTTGAGACTGACATTACAATCATTTTCCTATGGGGGTCGGTTTGTTGATCCATATTTAATTATTTCCTCGAAAAAGTGGTTTTCAGTTAATTATGAGTATTTATTGAATATTTTTATAGGAACTGGAATTCTGGAATTGAAATGTTCAAGTGATCAATAAAGTGAGGTTAAGAGCTGTAGTTGTCTTCATCTATGGAGCAGTACACAGATTATCAACCTATAGCAGTAGTTGAATGGTGGCCACAGATCACAGAGGTCACTCTGTGATCTGTGTGGTGGCGCAGCATGGTGAATTCTAACGGTGTCCATACACCTTTGTTTTCCAGGAAAG